AGAATTCATGAATGAATCATTTAGACTGATATCGTTTCACTTCGCTTTTAGACACACACACTTGTAAACTTCCCTAAGCACTTCCATTTGTGGAATCCCTGCTGTGTGCCACTTTGTGAATTGAATGAAGGAGATTATATGAACAGACCCTCCACCCCTTGACCTCTTGATTTTGACCAAGGGAGCGAGTCTACTTCATATGTAAGACCACTCCATATACCACAATGCAACACGATTGCATTTAATTTTCCCACCCCAAATAAGTCTATGATATACAAATATTTTTTTAATAAATCAACTCCAGACCAATTTTGTGAAATGGATCAACAGATTCATTGAAACAGCCCTAAAAGAAGAAATAATTTATAGATATGTTAGCGATAAATAGCGATATTTCTCTAAGGAGCTCTGTCAAGGATTTTTTAAGGACTTCAATTAAGGTCTGTTTTTCACATAAAGCTATCATATGACTTTCAAAAGATTTATATAGTGTAGTATATACAGTTCATGTGTCATATGGACCTCTTTTGTGATACTATTATGGCATTTTCTTGTCATTTAAAGTCAATTTCGGTAAATTCAAAATAGTTGCCATGATATCTATTGAAAATTCACCTTTTGTGTTCCTTGGAAGAAAGCAAGCATGCAACAACATAAGGGTAAGTAAACAATGGCAGAATTTTCCGTTTCTAGTAAACTTCTTCAACTAAGTTATGAGGAGCTTGTAGCTTGACAAGCTAGAGTTTTCAAGTATAGCTTCCTCAAGACTGGTTGTCATTTTCTAGCAGACTTCCTTACCCTTGGGTCTCAGTATTTTAAATAGTGTCGCAAGTCGCAGACTTAATTTCCCATGCACAATTACACTTTCTCTTCAGAGTCTTCAGCTGGGGGCAGAGGAGCTGGAAAAAGCTTTTAATGAAAGAGAGAAGGGAGTAATGAAGAGACGGGAGTTATCTCCGCCAACACTCTTCTTTTTCTTCGCTCTGCCACTTTCTTTTATCTCTCTCATTACTGGCCTTCCACTTAATGTTTGTGCTTTATAATGGTTTACTAATATTTGGAAGGTGAGCTGCCCTCTAGAAAGTGTCTTGTGAAGCTCGTTGTTACTGAGGCATACTTTTTTTGTGTTTTATGTTTTATGCACTTTATGGAAAATCCTGGCCAATGTTTTGGATGTAAAATGCTTGTTCTTCACTGTAGCTCTGTGGCTTCTTTAAGACATTGTATGTTTGAGTGTTCTGTCCAATCCAACACAGCAACACTGACTTAACCAATAGCGTAAATTTGGGGGCGGGACTAGCTGTTTCGCTGGCAAATGATTAAAATATTTTAACTTTACACAGTAAAACAAGATTTTGAAAGAATAATTCACCCACAACATTACATTATCGTTCTGTCATTTACTCATCCTCATGTCATTTCTAACCCATATATCTCTTCTGTGGAACACACACTTTTTTTAATTTTATTTTAAACAATATTTGTTTTAAATTTACATACAATGAAAACGGAATAGGGACTAGAACTAATGAAAAACAACAACGCACCATAAAAGTAGTCCATGTGCACTAGGCCTATTAATCGGCAGTTACGTAAAAGCTTGTTTCCGCTACGGAATAAAAAATAAAACTAATTGTGACTTTATCTCAAAATTCAGATTTTTAAGATATAAACTTGCAAGTCTGAAAAAAGTATTGTGAGATAAAAACTCTGAATTCTGACTTTTTTCTTTGCAATTCCTAGTTTAAATCTTGCAATTCTTGCAAATTATCAAATCGCTAATGCTCCAAATAATAAATATATAAAAGCTTGATGGTTTAACATTTGAAAATGATTTAAGACAACCATCAATATTAGTATTGTAACATTTTATATTCGTTAGCGCTGCTCACGCTGAATTAGAGACAATGCATCGTTTTTGGTCAAAATACATGTGTTAGCATGAAAAATGTCAGGTTTGGAATGATTTGAGGGTGAGTGAATTATGCCAGAATAAAATTGTTTTGGGTGAACTATCCCTTTAAGTGCAAATTCTGGGCAATCTCAGATGCTTTCAGTAAACTGGGATCTTGATGGTTAAGAAAGTGGTTGATTTGGGCAGCGTCTGTGTTGTTGTGGATTGGAGCTGATCTCGGGGTGCAGTGATGTATGTGTTTGTTGTTCTCTGGGCACGTGAGGAGAATCCCACTGGGCTGGAACCATATTAGAACCTCAGCACTCAAGCTTATCTCATCTGATAAGGTGCACAGAGACACGAGCGAGAACGAGAGCTCTCTAATGCACTTCTTCACTGATAGAGGAGCAATAAGGAGGGGAGGGGAGAAGATGGTACGAGAGTGGAGGAATGAGGAGATGAGAGGTCCTCTGTTTGACCGAAAACTAAATTAAATGAGTAAACTGTGTCTAAAACAACCACATATCTAAAAAAAGGCCTTGGAACATCTGATCCAGTGTTGCAAAAACGGACATGTAAAATTAATGTTGTCCTTCAACAGTAACCAGATTGTGAGAGACAAAATACATTTTGATGCAAAAAGACTGCTGCTGTGGGCCGCCCATTTGCCTATAATGGGTAATTTGATCATCTTTGGCTGAATTTAGCTAGACAGAAAATAATTCAAGGTCCAAATAACCTACAATATGTTCCTTTGAGAGTAGTAAAAAGTCGTTTACCTCCTCTCGTAAATCAATGAATCCAATTTCGAAATCTGGGCTGTTGGAAAACCTTATCAGTGACCTGATGCAAAGCGAGGTGTGAAGAAAACTCACTGAAACACCTCACGCTCGATCAACAACTTTCCAAATCAATCACATTTGCTGATTGAATTTTCTGTCATGCATTTATGCCAACAATCCATATTTTTAACACCATGCAGATGCTAAAAAGATTGCAAGACTTTTTGTTTTTTCCCCTTGGCTTGGTGGTTCACCCACCAGAGGCCAATATATAAATGTTATAGGCACTCTTAAAGTAATAGTTGATGCAAAAATGAAAAGATGCATTTAAAAAAAATGTTTAAACTACCATTTACTTTTGGCATCACTGACATCAAACCTGTCAAGGCATGTTTGACGAATCTGTGTATGAACAAGACGTTGAGAATGAGAAATCATTGTTTACAATATTCATTGTATTAAAGCAACTCAAACATTCTGCTAAACTTCTCATTCTTTTGTTCCATGGAAATCATGGGTTTGAATCATTATTATACCTGTATTAATATAATTCTGCAACATTTTTGAAATTAGAAACTTGAAAAAACTGAAAAATTATGTTGATGTGGAAACTAAGCTGCAAAACAAATTTTTTACAATTTTATTTATCAAAAAGACAGATGCATATTTAATTTTTAATTTTTTAGTGTTTTTAAATTAAGAAGTGATTTTTTAAATTGTATTTTTAATATAATTAAAGGGGATAGTTCACCCAAAAATGAAAATTCTGTCATTAATTTGTGACATTAGGGGTTCAACCTTAATATTACGAAGCTACAAGAATACTTTTTGTGAGCAAAAGAAAAAAAAAAAAACGACTTTATTCAACAATTCGTCTCCTCCGCGTCACCCTAGCGCCATTTTGGATAGTATCCACTGAACGCATTGTTTGTGCTTTGATTCGAACGAAAACAACATATCCGTGGTGCAGCTGACACAGAACAACATATGCTGTTTGCGTTCAGTGGATACTCTCCAAAATGGCGCTAGGGTGACGT